GGGCTTCCGCTCTGGATAGGAGACTGTGACATCAGGCATTTAAAGGGACAGGAACTCATTGTCTGTGTGATTAGAGCGGCGCCGGGTGGTGGTTTGAAAACCTCGTGCAAAACGGTCTGCGAGAACACACAGCCCCTGGCATCCCTTTCATGAGTCTGGGTGCAAAATGTCAACCTCTGGCAGGAGACATGGGTCCATTTCAGAAGTAGCGAGTATGATGGTTCATTGACTCATGTAAACAGTCATTCGTTTCATGTGATTGACATGTGTTTAATTCCAGGCACAAAAAATGCCACCTCGACAGCTAAAATGTGTTACCAGCAAGTTATCTATAGTGGGAGGAAATTGGTGTGTTTTTGAGAGTTACACTTTTTAGACCATGCATTTTGATAGGCGGAGGCAATTGGATTAGTGCTAAAATAAACATTTAAAATGTCATTAGGATTTGTTAAAAGGCTTCTTCATAGTCCTGTAACCTCAGATTTATCAACATCATAACGTTTTACTCTTCTCCAGCACCCTTTATCCCAATGTGCTTTGCAAACAACCTACACTGCAGATTTCAGAGTAGCAGCCGTGTTAGTCTGTATCCGCAAAAAGAAGAACAGAAGTACTTGTGGCACCTTAGAGACTAACAAATTTATTAGTCTCTAAGGTGCCACAAGTACTTCAGAGGCACTGTAATGCAGATATCTGAGGGATATAGGGTCCTGCCTCACCAATCTGTGTGCAGGATGATTAATAACAGTGCAAAGGAAGCGGGGGGGTTTAGTAGGGATATAAGGTCAAACTCCTATTCTCACACATCCGAAGAAGTGGGTATTCACCCACGAAAGCTCATGCTCCTATACGTCTGTTAGTCTATAAGGTGCCACAGGACTCTTTGCTGCTATTCTCACACAAAGCACCAGTGGATCAAAAAGTGCCATGGCAAACCCTACTCTTAGAAAAAGGGTCACAACAAACATCATGGATCTTTATCTCCATGTCTGCAGAGATGGCTTTCTGACTTGCCAAATAAAGAAGCAATGGCAGGGTCCCCAGAAACATGCAGATACTACTGGGAGAGAGCAGCAAGGTGTATGAGACAGAATAACAATGCTTGCATTCATGGAGCTACAGCAGTGGCAGAGTTGGGAATAGAAGCCAGGTATCCTGATTACCAAACCCATGTCCTATTCCCTGGATTACATTGTCTCCCCAGAAGCTTCTGAAGGACTCCCAAAAGCATGGGATCCATCCTGGAGGTGTCATTGGTGAAACAGGGAATAAGGTCTTATGTGACTGCCCCGCTCCATGATCCCATTACCAGAAAGGGAAACTGGGCTCTGAGTTGCTGAGGATGTTATAACACCCCTAAAATGTGGTGCCCTAAGTCATCACATGTCTTGACACATACATACTGTATTTTTCTTAGTTCCCAGTGACTTGTTCCAGGGAAGTTTCTTCACATGCACAACGTGATTAAAAATACATTGTTCTTTCAAAGGAATGGCCAAAGTTCGTTCAAGGAATTCCACATGTCCCATGTCTGCCCTCATCTTTAATACAAACAGGAAGTCAACAGATACTACAGTTTCCAGCATGCATGACCCATCTTGGTCCAGTTGAACTACTGTTGTCTGTAAGATATATGTCTCCATATTAACATAAAAGACAGATGCAATGTGTTCCATTCAAGCAATTTGCCATTGTAGCCCGCATTTGTGAAAATAAATTACCACTCCTTCTGTAAAGCAGGTGATCTAATGGGTCCATAATCCATTAAAACATGTTTCCATTTAAAAAATGGTGCTTATCATTTATACGGTGGTTTTCATGTTTGAAATCCTTTACAAGTATTCATTCCCACAATACCCCATAAAAGCCATTTGGGGGCTACTTAGTTTCAGTCATCTATTAGTTACTCAAAAGACAGTAACAACTATATTGCTAAGAATGATTTGACAGGAGTAACTCAGAACTACCTTGCCTTGGTGGGTTTGTGACTCATTTCTTACAATTTGGCGAGGGTAGTTAAGGACTTTGTTTGAATGAGTGTTGCAATAGCATGCCATCATGCCCACACTCAACATGAACTAATATTTTCTTTCTTTATATTTAATTTCCTTTATGTGTAACTTGGACTGGTACTGTTTTTACATCATGTAAACATGGTGACATGGTCGTCAGAGACTTGCATCAACACTGTTTTCTCTGTGTTATTCACCCTCACAGGTTTGCATATATATTAACATGATATTGCTGAGACAACACTAGGCCTATCTTTAGTCTGAACAAAGGAACGTCAGTGATTGTTAGCTTTAAAAAAAAAAGCAAAAATAACTCCGCTGTTTACAAAATGACAAATTACAAAGATGCCTAATAAATACCAATAATGATTAACTCCATTCAGAAACCTTTACTGCTAATGATGAATCATCTTTGTTCCTACAACTCAACAAAAAATAGCATGAAACTGGGTCTAATAAACACTTGGGAACCAAATCAGCTGAAGTTTTGAGTCTGCAAGAATTCACACGTTAACTAAAAATAGTTTTGCAATTTGTTTATCAGAGTTCAGAATTATTTACCAAGAAATGGCCTTATGAAATTTTAAATGGCCTAGATATTACAATCTACGCATCAGCAACCAGCATCATCACAAGAACAATCAGCTCATGACATGATTTGACATCATCTTATATCTGTATGTGCAACTTCAAGCTCTGATGAGACAAAAATAGTGTAGAGCGAAAGTAAGGGGGGGAAATTAATTCTTTAGATTAAGGCTTCTATGATTATTATCAATATGGAATACTTAATTTTTTAAAAACTATGTTTTACTTAATTCGGCTTTTGTGTTTTTAGGACTTGCAGCTTGCTTATGATCTATTTATTTGACAGTTGAGAAATTAAATAAAAGCATTGGAGTAAGAACTGGACTGAGAATTAATTTACGTTGTTACTTGACATTTTATGGGAACGATTATATCTCTAAGATTATGGAGGCCCAGTCATGCAACCCATACTTCTGCAAGTAGTCCCTTTGAAGTCAATGAGAGTACTCATGCAATGATTGCAAAATCAAGAGACGAAGGTATTGGTGAATGAAATGGTGAACTGAATAGATCTTTCAAAAGACATAAACTGAACATGGCTCTGCTGTGTGATAACAATACAGCCCAGGGATGTGATTCTAAGAGTTATTTTTTGTGACATCCTGAAGACTGCATTCTGACTGCATCCAGTTTCTATAACCCAAAGAGGGAGAAGAGATAGACACTCCATGAAAGTCCCTGAGAACCTCACTGTTCCCAGTTTGTTCGGTGTCAAAGGTCCTGAGACACTACAGTATTGGATGACAGTATAAAACCCTGAAAAAAAAAATAGAAAATATCGATAATATAGAAATAACCATCTTTGTAAGGATTATTAAAACTCTGAATGTTGACAACAGATGGAAGTACAAGAGACTTTATCAAATAAAATACTATTATTATTCCTTTTGACCCAAGCAGTTAGCCAGTATTTTGAGGTCTTGGGATAACTATTGTTATGTTTAGTTTACCTGTATTAAATTCAAAATTAGACTCATTGCGCCTGGAAATACCCATTGCAACAGAAAAGTCAAAGCTGTAGGAACTAGTAGAAGTTACAGGATGGCTTCAGTGGAAGCAGGGAAGGATTGGGTTGTCTCTTCAGGGGACTGAGAAGGGACTGCCATTAAAAAAAATGCTTTCATCACCTGAACTCTTTTTTCCATATGCACATTTTGCTGTCTGAATTAAATTGTAAACTCTTTGGAGCAGGGACTTTGGCTTAGTTTGTATTTTGTAAATCTCTGTGTACTGTTACAAGTATGAATGTTTATTATTATTATTGAAAACACCCAAGATGAGACTTTTTAGCCTGGGTGTTTGTGAATGATAACATATTTATTGATCTATCAAGGACCAGTAAGACGAGAAGCATTATCTGAACGCTAGTATACTGACTCTAAAATACAACTTAATTCTTACTATAGAAAGTAAAATACACCAAGAGACAGATGCACAAATAAGTTTATTGTATATTAATGCTCTATATTAAGGAATTTTTGTTTAGTAGATGAATGTAGCGTTGTTTCATTCTCAGAAGACTTTTCTATGTATTTGTACAGCACCTAACATATTGGAGCCAGTGGCGCTATCACAAGAATAATAGGTAAATAAATAGTGTTTAAGGAAATAAACCAAACTATATCACTTATTTTTTGGTTGACAAAGAATCTTTTTTAAGAAGAAAATGCTGTTCACAGATCTATTAAGAAGATGACCTAGCTGCTTCTAACTAAATATCATACTGACTTTGAAAGGAATGAGTCATTTGGCTAGAGACATAGATCATAAGTCTCAATCTACAGAGATTCAAAACTGCAGACAAAGCTTTATAATGGAGAGATTCTTATTTTACAATAATTAACAAGTGGGATAATGAAAGTTTGTGTGGGACAGTCAAGTTAAATTTGGGCATAAACATCCTCTGGAACAGACTGAGATATGACTAGTATATAACGGACACAGATTAGAACTGAATCACTTTGCCGATATCACATAAGTGTGAAAAGTTAACTTTGAGTAAAACTGAAAATCTTTGACACAGAGGAGTTCTAGACCTTTTTGAGATGGTCCTAATTTTAAATTAATCAACTACTCATAGAAACTAAAACTGAACCCCTTTTGACATATTCCTTACACCTGAGCCACCTCGTCTAGACATAACCGTTAAGTCTTCTTTAACTTGAGTAAACTGAAATAACTAAAGCAGCACCAATGTTTAGTCAGGAAACTTTAAAAAACATGAAAATTGGAGAATAAATAGTTTAAAAACACTAATGTTTTAGTCCATAATTGTGTTTTCTATCTCAACATTTTACTTTCATAATTCAATATTATCCCCTTGGGAGGTTTCTTTCTTTTTTTCTTTCTTTCTTAATACTGCTAGCTAAAGTCTTGGGCATGTTTTCCAAACACGGTTATATGGCTGTTTCTAACAATGTCAAATATGAATACTATGTCCAGGCACATTTTCTGAACATGGTTATGTTAACACCGTTTTTAGAAATGCAGTATTACCAGCCCCAAATTTTCAAAAATTACCAAGCCCCCAAAAATCATGAGATTGGGTTAAAAATTATGATTTTTTAAAAACAATAAATCTGATGTTCTTTTTGTTTGAATTTTGGATTTTGATACAAGATCACATTTTCAAGCTTTTTGCCACAATCAGTGCTAAAAATTTACTTAACATTTAAAAAAGTTGAGATTCTCAACTCATCACATGCCTCCAAAAGCTGGGGCTTTAAGAAAAACATTAAACATTGCAAGGCTCGCAATTAAATTGTGAAAGCTGACACAGCGGAATGGGGACACAAACCACAGTGTCACTGTGTCTAGCAGTGGTTTATAAACATGGTTATAGTGCAGTGCCGTTTCTATCTGTGTGAAGGAGGGGCAGACATCACTATGTCCCAGTTCTCCCAGGGTCCCTGAAGGTTTTTCTAATATTGTTGCTAGTTGTGCGAGCCAGGATATAGAGCACTGTGTTATGGTATTTGGAAATAATTTCTGGGCGTAGTTATAATAAAGTTTCTGCTGGTGTGGGGCACAGAGGTGTTGAGGATAGATGGCATAGTGATGCTCTGGGTGCTTCAAGCCCAAGGAAGGAAAATTATGCTATAATGATCAGCTTTTGCACTTTGCAACTTGGTTTACTATGCGGGGGTGCAGAATGGGGTAGGGGCTGGAAAGGGAGACCCCCAGTAGTTTTATTAAAGAGGGGGGATGCTGTCCTATCCAGGCAGATTTTCTGCAAGGTCATCTCCTATCTATCAGCCCCATCGGGCCTTTCAAGTGCGCAACTGACTGAGATAGCCCCGCCCCCCATGAGAGAGGGACGCCCCTTAAGGGAGGAAAGAGGCGCCTCTCTGGAGAATATAGGTAGCAAATGGGAGCAAAAAGGTGGCGGGAAAAGCTGGTAGGCTTCGCATGCATCCGCCGCAACAGCCGTAAAAACGGCGGGGAGAGCATTTGGCCTCGCGCTGCGGCCCCGACAGGCGGAAAAAAGGCGGGAAGGGCTGTAGGCCTCGTGCTGCGGACGGGATAGGCAGAAAAAAGGCGGGAAGGGTATTTGGTCTCGCGCTGCGGACGCGACAGGCGAAAAAAAGGCGGGAAGGGTATTTGGTCTCGCGCTGCGGACGCGATTGGCGAGAAAAAGGCGGGAAGGACATTTGGTCTCGCGCTGCGGACGCGACTGGCGAGAAACAGGCGGGGAAGA